ATCGGCAAAAATTGACTGAATAAAAAAACACCGAGCGTAAATATTCCGTTTTCTTCGAAAGCCGGAACAATAACTTTAAAAACAAGATTCAATCCAACAAAATAGCGGCTGCTTTACAAAGTTATTGTTCCGGCTTTCGAAGAAAACGGAATATTTACGCTCGGTGTTTTTTTATTCAGTCAATTTTTGCCGATCGAAATATTAGTTTTCGACAAAACAATTTTATAACCCATTGGAGATATCAACTCCCTGAGTTCAAATGAAAAAGGGAGCTTATGCGTTTAAACGGCCCAAAATTAGGAAAATAGTCGGAAATTATATTTCAAATTGAAAAACACGTAATCAACATACAATTACTGTCTGTCTGTTTGAAATTCGCAGTATCAATCGAAATGGCTGACCTAGTTGCTCGAATTTGATTGGCTAATATTAGCCAATCAGGATCAGTTTTAGTTTTCATTTTGCTTCAGTTTTGATTTTTGGGCCGTTTAACGCATAAGACTCAAAAAAAAGATAATTTACCTGATTATTTTTTGTAAAGTTCTGGTGGTTTGAAAACTGCCGAATTGTCCATGTTCTGGACTAAATTATGCGCTCTTTGAAGAAATTATTAATATTGCTGAGAGCGTAACGCGAATTATTTACGCGTGGCGAATTATCCCGCACAACAATATTGTTCTAAATTGAATTGAGGCTAGCTAATTGGTCGTATTAATTTCGTAGGACTCGAAAATTTTACAGTTTGATTTTGTCCAAAATTCATAGGTTTTCAATATTTTCTTTTCCCAATAACTATTTGATATGAATTAAGGGACAGTCGGAACATTCAGGGCTTTGCTCTGATATACGAGCAGTCTTGTTCAGGATTTACCTTTTTAAAAGTTACTGGTAAGGATTGGTCACCCGAAAAAATGATTAAAGCTGTTTCTAATTCATACTTCGGAATCGTTTCTTACCTTGAACGAAGCCAACTCCTTCTGTAATTCTTTCTTTAATTTATTCGTCGTTTAATCAATACGAACTTCAATTTTTGAAAGTATTAGTTTTACAACTCGTTTCACTAACATGTCTTCAGGCTGCCAGAAAATTCACAGCAGCAAGATGCGTCGATTGATCTTTTGTCGTATAATTGGCAAAATCAGCGTCATTCTAAACCACATTTGAAGTCACCGAACTCAGTGAGAGTCGTAATTACAGGTGTTCCATTCTTTTGACTACAGTCTATTACTAAGCTTGGCAGCCAAGAATACTCTTCAAAAATCAATATTTGCTCTCGTTCTGCAAAAAAACATAAACGCTAATAAATATGATAAAATACTGTCAATTAATTTTTTCGTTTCCTCGTTATCTTACTTTTCTAAAAGAAGTGTATTTTTATTTAAATTCAAACAAGCTCAAATTTATGAATTTTTTAAAACCACATCTTTCATTTTCTATTTGCCCGAATACTTCAGGATAGTGTATAAAATTTGCATGTACTATAAAAAGACTTTCGAATCTACAAAAATTATAGAAACTTCAAGACTATAAAGACAGAAGCGAGTTTAATTTGCGATGATTGCGTCCCATGATTTAAGGCCGCAGATATAACTTTTCCGTGATATCGAAAGCAGAACTTAGGAGTCGAATAGAATTAGAAATTTTGAACACGATTGGAGACACTTAAATAATAAACACTTGTTGGTATTTTTAATAATCATAGACAATATGAGTTGTTACATCATAGGGTGCAATTTTTCTGACGTCATAACTGCTTATGTAATGTCATCAGGTGCGAAAGTAGTATCCTCTCTTCTCCATGTCTTCTCTCTGCTTCCAATATTCGATCTCATCCTCCACTTGGCCCATGAAGGTCACTGCCAGGAACATGCTCATCAGCTGGCAACAAATCAACATCATCTTCATTGGTTAAACATAGCCAACAGACAGTTGGAAAAGAGTCAATGAACGCAAGTAAACCGAAAAAAAACTGTTGTTATTTGAAAAAAAAACTTTTGAATAACCTTGAAGCTCTTTGAATTTCACGAGCAGTTTACTAAATAATTGTCATTTTTTGATAAAACTAACCCAATTTAAGAAAACTGGATTCTGAGAAAAAATATACATTCCGCTGGGAGAATAAAATCCATTCGAAACTAGAAAAATCGATCACGCTTTTTCGAGCCATTTCAGCTTTAATAATTGGAAAGTGCACTTTTCCCAACTTCTAGCAAATGAACTTGATTTGAACTCAATAAGTGCACTTTTCTTGAAAAAAAATCATCACGACCTATACAAGAGTCGTTCATTGACTCTTAAACAGCTATAACATGTGAGTGGTTGTTTTTTTTTAGTCAAGAAGCCCGGAGTCCTAACTCGGAGGTTACTTATTTAAGGTTGAACTAGACCTCAGTTAACCACGATGAGTCCATTAAGCTATGGCTATCCACAAGCGCTCACCTTGCAACTTCCAGTGCAAGTGCGATTTGAACCCGCAACGATATGATTGCTGGTCACCATCACTATTGGATACAGCTCAACGTTGTGAACTGACTAAGTTTCCATTGATCCGTGCTTCCGGGAGAGGAAACCGTACCAAGCCGAGAAAAATAACCAAAACATTGCATGTAACTCTTAACCAGGGCAAAACAGCGGTTCTCTGTAAAGAACTGAACAGCTCGTATATTGGTCTTTCCCTCGTGGATAACTTGCCTTACCTTAAGCTATCAACTTAAGGTTTTTATCGCAAAACAGCACAATAAAAGAAACACACTACTGACGATAATATTTCTTTGAGTTTGGACTTCTGACAACCCATGATCGATACATTTTCATCCCATTTTAAAATATTAAACATTGAATATTTGACCGATGTTTTTGATTTTTTTTCATTTTCTCAAATACTTACCTACCAAAACTGAGGTTTTAGTTTCAATGAATAGAACGGAACTGAAAAGCTCCCCATCATAAGCGGCTACGCCTGAACTTTTTTCTCATGAATTTATGCCCGAGAATAGTCAATTTTTAAACTTTTTGACCGTTTCAACTTTTCTCGAAAACTACCCTCTCAAGCCTGAGGTTGTGGTTCAATGTAGATAATGGGTATTGGGAAGCTCCCCTGTATTAGCGGCCACTCATAGTGAGATGGGGAAATTTCAATTGAAAGAAGCGGCTGTGCGATTATCCTGCAAAAGCGGCTGCTCCTGATTTTTTTGTAAGAGAAAGGTTGTTTTTAATTTTGAAAATTTTCACTCTGCTCACTAATTTTAGTAGAGAAACAACTAGGTTTTGGGCAAAGTCAAGTTTTTGTAATTGCGCATCGAGAAAATTTTGGCTCATAAAGTTTTTTTTCGATATTTTTCTTTTGTTTCACTTATGCTTATTTTATTGTGTCATCACATCCAAGTTTGTAATTAAACTACAACAAAACTGGCCCTGAATGTTCCGACCGCCTTTTAAGGTCTATGGAGAAGTAATAACATGAAAAATTAAATGTAAAAAAATATATTTATATATTTTTTCAAAATTTGAGATTTTTGCGAAAATCATCCCCCAATACGCCTTATGAAAAAGTAATAAAGTTCGCTCCTAGTAAGAAATCAGTTATGGCAAATAAGCTTCCTTCAACCAATTTGGAACAATTTCTAAGACGGATTAACTCTCCGCTTACGTGTTAATAGCGCGAAGTATGTCGCGCGTTAAATGTCCCAAATTGGCCAAAATGGCAATCTTTAAACCCTCATAACTTTACGAAAAATAATCACAGGTGAAATATCTTTTCAAATTTAAGCTCAGGACAACAATACCTTTTGAATGATATAAAAAAATTCCGTCAAAAATGGCTATTTAAAAATCGAAATTTGTGTGAAGAAAAAAAACCACCCCGAGCACAAATATTCCGTTACTTTCGTATCGAAAGTCGGAGCACAAACTAGCAGCCAATTTCAGCCAAAATAACCAAATTTATTTGTCTATAAGGAATTATAATCGACTTATCGCCCCAGGGTAAAAATTAGTAGAAAGGGGATCCGCCAGGGATCCTTAATGGGGGGGGGGGGGGGGGGGGGGCTTGCCATGGGCCGTCTAAGATCCTTAAGGAACACATCAAAAATTTTTGGGGCCAAAAAATATACTGTTATATCAACGAAAAGTGCTCGGATCCTAATTCTGGGATCCAAAATTAATTTCGATCTTCCAACTATGAATTTACCGAACATAGCCGCAATATGCTGGTTCCCCGGCGGATTTTAATTTTATGTTCTTTAGATACTTTTATTCATGTTTTTCCTACTCTCAAATATCGTCTCAGCCACCACCTTCTTTCTCAAACAACCTTTTCAACCAACACCGAAGTGGTCCGTAAGGTAGTAACTTCTTTACTAAAGTCTGTTTCGATCCTGGGGATAACGTTGGTTGACTGAATATAAATATTCCGTTGAGTTTGTTTATTGAAACTTAAGGGGATATTTATAGTCAAATGAAAAAAAAAACAGATTGGTATTTATTGAAGTCAAGTTAAGCGCGGTATACAATAGAAACCAAGATTAAAAGTAAAGTGAACAAACGTATTAAATTTGAATATGAAAACTCTGTTGGTAATTAATCGTCGAGATCACTTTCATTTTGTATTCTGCGGGCTTTCTTTGTAGCAATTATTGGTGCATTGTTAATTTCTTCACTGCTTTCTGACCCACTCTTATCGCTCTCCCCTTTCTCTTTGTTTTTTTCCTCCCGTGCTTCAAAAAAAATTTAAGCGTTTTGAGCATACCGTTTTTCTACATCACTTGAACTGCCGGCAATATAACAATTCAGCTCTTTTACTGTGCCGACGGTGTCGAACGCCTTGATCGGGTACAGAGTAAACCGAACTGCAACACAACTGCATTACCATACTAACTGAATCAGGTTCCTCGCAATTTTGGTCCTCTTGCAAACTACCTTCCGAATTTTCTTCCTCAAAAAATTTGTGTTACACTCATCTTCGGTAGTCAAAAAATGCCCGAAGGGTATTGTGCTAACAAGGTCGCTTAAAAGGAATCGTTTGGTATCCAACGAGGTTATAGCTGGATACTGATATAGCTCGAATGGATACTGATATTTTTCACTCTAAAAGTGCCGTGAACGAATAGACTACTTGAACCTGTCATGTAAGACTTTTTTGAGCCGTCCAAGTGATTCCTTTAGCTGACTTTTTTGAAAACCATCTAAAACAGGTTGATTAATTTACAAAACGACATGAGACTGCAATTGCCTAAGCACCAGAACTTTATTGGCAAACTGATCTAATAAAATAATGTTGAAGACGAATAATTACTGAAACATCAGAACTCTTTCGGTAAATTGATCTTAACATAAAATAATTTATGCTATGACCAAGTTTCAGGAAGAAAAACTCTGCTCAAAAAACTTGAACTAAATCATTTTATCCTGTTTTTCATGTCGAACAATTTAATAAGGGACGATTGAAACTTACTTTTAATCAGAGTGAAAATAACTTCGGTTTCAAACCGACAAACTCCTCGATTATTTTCCCTGCCAAATCGTCTTTGAATTTTAGAACTGTTTTCTTGTTCTGGTCACTATACATTGGCGAGTCTTTGGGGTAGTTACTAAAGTCGAAGTGATTTCCCAAATCTTTCAAATTTTCGCATAAATCCTCGGATTTTACCATATATATATATATGAAACTGTCAGAGTCTGAGTATATGAATTCCAGATTCAAGTTCGGTTTCATTTGCAGATAGTGGAATTCAAACATGAACTTCTTGGCAAGGTCGAACATTATTAACCTCACTTTTGTCGGCTATAATCCCAACGGACAGCTTGATTAGAAGGTTACAAAGGGCAAACTCTTCATCAACTATTTGAAACTTTTATTCATTTTCTGAGCTTTTTATGGTTTCGCTTTGACTACATCAGTTAATCAAAAGCAGAGTTAAGAATGAGTTTATAGAAATTCTCATCACATGCATCCTTTGCAGCAATTCTCAACTGGGTGTCAGGTAATGTAGATTATTTTAGAGAGTCAGGTAATGTAGCTTAGCTTATGACCTTTCGCGTGTAGTGACTGAGTCAACTTGGGTACTTTTGACAAACAGGTGATACCCATTTTTCCAAGCATTCAATTTGATCAGTACTCGCGTCTGCCAGTTCGCCTACTTTTTTGGAGGGCACTGGTGGATAATTCATCAATCCACAACCTATCAAATCTTCCACAAACTCGAGGTGGTCTCGCTCAGTGAGCAGTCGACTGTCTGCCCTACATACTTTCAAGAACACGTCACCGGCCAGATTGCATGCAGTGTAGTAGTGTGCGCAGTCGACCCCGTATGTAGTAAACCAACCGCACAATTCTTCAAAACCGAAGCTAGTAGGAGAACGTCTGTAGTAAGATACAGATCGTGGTAATCGCCTAACGAAAGCCAATGGAACTCACAATAAACCCTCTTGGCATGATTATACTCGTTTTCCCTGATGCTATCTTCCCCACCGGTGCGATTATTTTTCCATAATCTTCGGGCAGGCAACCGTGACTCGCTGAACTTGTCAAAGTTATTCAGCTAGCTACAGAGGTAGAATTCAATTTTTTGACCTGTTTCAAGAGTTCAATTTTTTGATGAACATCCCTTTTTCGATAAAAGTTTCACAAGGTTTGATAAGGACGACGAAATAAATTTGTGTTGTTGCCCGGTGTAAACATAGTCTCTCCTTTTTTCGATATAGGTTTATTTCGAAAAAGTTTCCAGGCTGACTAGCTATTTTTTCATGCTATCGGGCCCTCGTTGTTGCTCGAACTTCACCATGTTTTTTTTCGAATTCAACAACAGCAAGGCCATAATCACATTTTTCATGTTTCTCAATAATTGTTGTACTGGATTTTTCTGGGTCAGGCTCGGCACCATCAACAGGTACAATCAAGGACTCCAGGTGAAAGTAAATCACACGTGGCACAAACAAGGGTTCACAAATGTTTTGAAAAAAATATGCCGAAATATGTCGATCATTTTTAGGACTGGGCATGGTGATTTCCATCCCATCTTGTTGACAACAAATATCTTGATGTCGTTGCACGGTATCCGAAAAGGAGCAAGTTTAACAGCAATTTAAGCAAATCTTATTTCTGTCCGAGGAGCTTTTTTTCAAATGAAATTCACCAACGTTGCAAGGTCATTGATGAGCACATAGTGTTAGGTAGATCTATCCGAGATACGTAGGTGAATCGCAAATGTACATGGCAATTGTCTAGAAATTCAAATTGGTATCAGTTCATCTGAAAAATATCTAAGCCGAAAAAAAGTTGATGTGCGCATAATTTAGCAACAAATTTTTAAATTGTTAGTGTTGAGATTTTTTTTGTTCAGATTTTAATTTGATTATTAGGAAATCAAACTTATCGAAATACGTTGATTTGGACCTTGTCCATGTCGATGTCAAGAATGCTCATTGGCATCTCAAACTCTCCTTGGATCTTGTGACTAAATCCTTCTTGTTCTTCTTTGCTTTTTCATTTTGGTAAGCTCACTCCCTCAGCTGCTGTTCATGAACAGCGTCATCTCTTTCTTCTAAATTTTGCTGATCATTACTACTTTTTCTGGCAGCAGATGAATTAGCACCCTCATCTGTTTCTTTTTCGTCTTCTTGAAGTGTGTCAGTTTTTTTTTTTTTTTTTTCAGATCATTTGGTAGAGGTAGAAGCTTCCAGCGCGGTTTGGTGACAGTTTAGCAAAAATGATGGTTAATTTGAAAAAATTTTCAAACAACCATCCACTACCGCGTGAAGCAAAGCACTTGGCTGTATTGAGAAAGTGCTCAATCAATTCGTTGTATTTTTGTTTTTCCAAGCCACCGCTGTCGACTCGCACCATTTCAGTGTTCAATACAACTTGATTTTCTCAAGTTTCGTCTCCTCCTGTTCAGCAGTGACGTGTTTCATCTAGCACACTTCAACTGAGAATTGTACTTTGTCTGATCCAAGTTGAGTGTGATCAAATATTAGTTTATCTATGACTTCCTTCTTTCGCATCATGAAAGCTAGCAGGCCGGTCATCGTCACTGATTTGAAACTTTTTTCAATCTTCCGTTGAAAGCGGCCTGGTTTGGTTTCAAGTGTGACTGATTTCTCGATTTTAGTTGCTGCACAGGTTCTTTGCCGCAGAAAAAAAACATACCAAGCTGTGAGCAAGCCGAAAATACCTGAGAGAAAACCCTTTTAGCCGGAAAAAAAAGAAGACTCAGAAACTAAAAAAAAGTTTTTATCACCCCATACGCTCAAAACACATAAGCATACAAAAACTTTTTTAAGCTCATCAAATGACAAATTATGAGGCCAATAAGCCGATTTAAAATAGGTCGAAACTTGTCAACCCGGGTAAAAGAGAAGCAAAAAAATGAAACTTAAAAACACTTAAAAACGAATTAAAATTTGTTACGCTTCATCCCTTTCAATACACACACGGACAAAAATATTTTCACCCAAAAAAACGACAACATATGAGGCCAATAAGCCGATATAAAATAGGCCTTAAATTATTAAACCGGAAGAAAAAACGAAAACATACGGGAAAAACGGTAAGTTGCAAAAAAAAGACTTAAAAGCTGATAAAAGTTAGTGAAGTCTCATCCCCTTCATTACACACACATGTACACAATTGTTTTTTACTTATTAATGGACGCAATATAAGGCCCAACATAATATAGATGGAAACTTACTTAACGAGAAAAAAAGACAAATTTTTTTATGAAATAAAATTTTAAAAAAGTTGGTAAAATGACAATCAACCTAAAAAGCAAATTTCGAATAGGGCGGATATCAAAAATGCTAACACGCTCAAGAAATGTCTGTTGCAGTTTCCAACAGAGAGACGACTACTGCAGTTCAGAGTGCACTGTGCTGAAAATGGAGATCTTGAAATTGGAGACCATCCCGTGGATAAAGTTGTTCACGGAAAAAAGCCTAGTACCCGATTGCAATATCCTTGCTTATCGCAAGGGCAAAGAATTACTAGAGTTGAAGCGACCATTTTTTGATATGAGCTGACGAAACGAAACTGAAAAAGAGCACAATAAAAGAAACACACTACTGACGATAATATTTCTTTGAGTTTGGACTTCTGACAACCCATGATCGATACATTTTCATCCCATTTTAAAATATTAAACATTGAATATTTGACCGATGTTTTTGATTTTTTTTTCATTTTCTCAAATACTTACCTACCAAAACTGAGGTTTTACTTTCAATGAATAGAACGGAACTGAAAAGCTCCCCATCATAAGCGGCTACGCCTGAACTTTTTTCTCATGAATTTATGCCCGAGAATAGTCAATTTTTAAACTTTTTGACCGTTTCAACTTTTCTCGAAAACTACCCTCTCAAGCCTGAGGTTGTGGTTCAATGTAGATAATGGGTATTGGGAAGCTCCCCTGTATTAGCGGCCACTCATAGTGAGATGGGGAAATTTCAATTGAAAGAAGCGGCTGTGCGATTATCCTGCAAAAGCGGCTGCTCCTGATTTTTTTGTAAGAGAAAGGTTGTTTTTAATTTTGAAAATTTTCACTCTGCTCACTAATTTTAGTAGAGAAACAACTAGGTTTTGGGCAAAGTCAAGTTTTTGTAATTGCGCATCGAGAAAATTTTGGCTCATAAAGTTTTTTTTCGATATTTTTCTTTTGTTTCACTTATGCTTATTTTATTGTGTCATCACATCCAAGTTTGTAATTAAACTACAACAAAACTGGCCCTGAATGTTCCGACCGCCTTTTAAGGTCTATGGAGAAGTAATAACATGAAAAATTAAATGTAAAAAAATATATTTATATATTTTTTCAAAATTTGAGATTTTTGCGAAAATCATCCCCCAATACGCCTTATGAAAAAGTAATAAAGTTCGCTCCTAGTAAGAAATCAGTTATGGCAAATAAGCTTCCTTCAACCAATTTGGAACAATTTCTAAGACGGATTAACTCTCCGCTTACGTGTTAATAGCGCGAAGTATGTCGCGCGTTAAATGTCCCAAATTGGCCAAAATGGCAATCTTTAAACCCTCATAACTTTACGAAAAATAATCACAGGTGAAATATCTTTTCAAATTTAAGCTCAGGACAACAATACCTTTTGAATGATATAAAAAAATTCCGTCAAAAATGGCTATTTAAAAATCGAAATTTGTGTGAAGAAAAAAAACCACCCCGAGCACAAATATTCCGTTACTTTCGTATCGAAAGTCGGAGCACAAACTAGCAGCCAATTTCAGCCAAAATAACCAAATTTATTTGTCTATAAGGAATTATAATCGACTTATCGCCCCAGGGTAAAAATTAGTAGAAAGGGGATCCGCCAGGGATCCTTAATGGGGGGGGGGGGCTTGCCATGGGCCGTCTAAGATCCTTAAGGAACACATCAAAAATTTTTGGGGCCAAAAAATATACTGTTATATCAACGAAAAGTGCTCGGATCC